ACAAAATGAATATCGTTTAAAAAAAAAAAATTTGAAAAACACAAATTTCTTCAAAAATAGCTATTGACGCAATACATTTCAAATCGAATTAAATTAAACTAAATTAAAAAAAAAAATTATATTAAAATTAAAAAATTAAATTGAAAAAAAAGTTAACTTAAACAAAAAAAAAAAAAAAAAAAACTTAAAATAGTGCGTATCTAGAATATATGACTTTTATATACCTAATTAAAATATAGCAATAAAAGAGAAGTAGGTTTCAATAATATACAGTAACAACAACTTAAATAATATAGTAATAGAAGTATCAGTAATAATATTAGACAAATAATTATAAAAACCCCAGTTATTGGTAATAATAATCAAAATAATAATAAAAACTAACGGTAATAAAATTGATGGTAATAACAATAACAATAGCAACAATAGTAAAAATAACAATAACAAAAATAGCAATACTTTTAATTGCGAGAGTTAGAAATAGAATAGTGATATAAAAATAATATTAACATGAGAAAAAGTTGAGAAACAGCAAGTATTGGTCGTAATAAATCAGCAATGAAATGAAGAAAGTTGTAGAAATGAATTTTAAAAAAGATAAAGTATTAGTAGTTAAAAACCGAAACTGAAGCGAATTGAGTTAAGATGGATAGTAGATAGTTAGCAGTAGAGTAGCATAGAAATTAGGAAGAATACTTGTTTAATAAAAGATTAAATAGACCGTTTTTAAATTTGGAAAATGAAGGGAGAGAGTTTACCATTTGCATATGCTCTGATATTTAATCGATTCATGTTCATAAGCAACAGTTCTATGTTTTGGTATAGATAATTTCAAGCTTTTAGCTGATCGAAGTTGGTAACGAGTATTTTTTTTTATAAGTAAAAAAAATCAGTAAATAAAGGAGGTAAAGTTTTAAGTTGTTGTATGTTTGTCAAACAAACTACAACAGTTGGAGTAAAAAAAAAAAGGTAGTTATCTATGTATCTTAGATTGGAAAATAAAAATAGTGGTTTGCTAATTTACTTACGTTGGAAAATAAAAATGGTGGTTGGCTAGTTATCTTAGGTTAGAAAATAAAAATGGTGGTTGGTTAATTAGAGCAGTATAAAGAATTATGGTGAAAATTATTTTTTTCGGTACATATTGTAGGTAGTTGGAGTGTTGAACAAGGTCTTTTAATTTAATTATCTTTGATATGTAGTAGAGGAAATTAGGATATGAGTTAAATTGCTGAAAAAATATTATTTTTAGGGCTTTATTTTGGAGGTGAAATAATCTTTTAAGTGTTAGAAATTAGGTTTGTCCTCATATTTGACAAGCACATCTGAGATGAAACTCAAAAGCAACATGATATATGTTAAGGAGCGTTTCAAGATTAAGAAAATGTTGAACTTTGGCCAACATACCGTTAGACCTGCTTAGTTTCAGTGTTAAGTGCTTTATACCTGGGATGCAAAACTTAAATTGGAATCAATTTCGGTACTAAGATACTTGATAAAATTTACCGGTTCTATTCATTGACCACTTAATGTGAAATTTTTTATTTTTCGTTTGATGCAATTTTATTTCACTTTATTTTCTTGTTGAAAAACCATTATAGATTAATTTGATAATTTTTAATTTATTTCGTAACATTTCAACACGTGTACAAAAAATAAAAAATAAATTGTTTTTACCCAGTAAGCACAAAGACGTTTAAAAGACGTTTTAAAGATGTCTTTAAGGAGGTCTAAAAGGCGCACTTGTAGACGTCTAGATCATAAGGCTAAAAAACGTCTAAATGAAGACGTCTTTATAAAAACGCGTTTTAGACGTATTTTAGACGTTTTTTTCAAGATAAATTTAAGTACATGACGTAACATTTTCGCGTAGTATGTGGTATATATTCATTGTATTTATAAAATCATGTATTGTTATAATTTCGTATATACAAAATATACATAGGAACCAACTATCAAAATAATATTGCTGTAATCACCACAAACGGTTGATGCATCAAGGATGAAAATAATAAATAACAATAACAAATATATATCAACACAGGTATTTAGAACATTTATAACTTACCATTAGTTATAATAACATTTGACATACGTTTAGCTAGCTAATTTTTGACCGCATACTTGAATTATTATATGGCTTGTGGGTGTATAAAAACTAAAAATATTGATATTTAACTTATATATTATTCTTGCCATTTTCACTTATTATCACGATCAGTCAACTATCTATTAAAAAAGCAAAATAATTAATTATAAAAAAAAGATATATTAATATTATAGCAATTATTTTAGTGATTCCTGTGACAACAATTTTAGCAATTGTGTAAAAAAGTAATTTAATTTAAAGTAATTTACACTTAAAACTTAAACAAATTATTGAAAATAATAAAAACTATGTTTTTACTTTGAATATACGACATCTACTTAACGCGTAATGACAAAGCCGTCAAAAATAAGTCATAATGACATATTTATAAACAGGTCTCAGAAAAGACGTCTTTTAGCCTTGATCTAGACGTCGTTTAATGCGTCTTTTAGACTATTTATTATGCGTCTTTTAAACGTCTTTTTAAACTTTAAAAAGACGCCTTTTAAACGTCATTTTAAAAACGCATTCATAAAAGACGTCTAAAAGATGTCTTCAAAACGTCTATAAAAGTGCGTCTTTACCTAGACTAGTTTTAGACGTCTATAAGTGTCTAAAATGCGTCTTGTGCTTAATGTGTAGTTAATTACTTTATTAATTTTTAGTACTATTTTGTATAAAAACTGACCATTTAAACGTTTATACGGGGCTTGTTGATAAGATAGTTAACATCGTTTTCGTGCATTCGTCTTTACAGACCTCTACACGTCTATACATGTTGTTAGACGTCTTTTTGTCTTTACCTTCTCCAGGAACTTAAAAGTTTTTAGAAATTACAAGCGCAAAGTAGGTTATAATATTTCAATATATTTTTAATTTTGATAATAAACGATAACAAATATTTTTACAATAAATAATCGTTATATAGTACTTACTTGTTGTTACCTAATGCGTATACAATGCAAAACAATCTTTTTCTGAAAAAGCTATTGTTGTTCTGAATTAAAATTTTAATCAAAAGAAATTTTTTGAGTGATAGGAATAGTGTCAAAAAATGAATTTCAGAATAGTATCGATATATTAAAAAGGCCAAATGTCGCAAAAAATAAGAATTGTGTCGCAAATGAGTTCAATGAATAGTGAGAAAAACAAAAAAAAACAAATAATGTCGCAATTAGTAGAAACGAAATAGTGTCGCGAATTGTTAATTTCAGAAATTGCTTACTCGTTTCGCTTATTTAAATAGCATACGGCTTTTACAGAAAAAAAAATAGAATGATAAAAGAAAAGATTGCTACTAATCCCAAAACCCTCCGTCGATGTAGGAGGGTTTAGGAATTAGTAAATTTAGTATATTCACCAACTATCTTATAGTCTGCTGCCGCAAAGGAGTGCCGCACTCCTTTGCGGCAGCAGACTATAAGATAGTTGGTGAATATACTGAAGCCCCTATTTTTGACACTATTCAATTAATTAATTTGCGACACTATTCCTTTTTTTTGTTTTGTTTTCGACACTGTTGATTAAATTCATTTGCGAGACTATTCTTTTTTTACATTTTTGACAATCAAATTTGTAGCAATATTCCGCCACACCCATTTTTTTACTAAGCCTCTAAGAATTTTTAAACTGCAGCGCGCTTGTTTAAAAAAAAAAAAACAAGGAATCGCTTTATTTTTAAAATAAAATTAAACCGCACCCTTCCGGCTTATCTTTAACTTGATTTAATTTAAAATGGCTTTAGATTAAGATTGTGAATAAAGCTTCGTTTTCGATCAAGCTATATTGTTTGTTATAAAAATTCGTCATATTGTTATTTATTGATAAAAAAAAATTATAAAAGTATATTTATTCTATAATTAATCTATAAAAAGTTTATATTTGTATTTAAAAGTATAGTTTAGTCGTTGATTTTTTTTTAATTTATTTTTACAAGTTTCTTAAATATTTTCTGATTTATATATATATATATATATATATATATATATATATATATATATATATATATATATATATATATATATATATATATATATATATATTTAGCAAAAAGTTGCTACATTATTTCGCCACACCCATTTTTTTACAAAGACCTCTAAAAAATTGTAAACTGCAGCGCACACGTTTCAACAAAACAAGATTTTTGTTTTACAGCTTATCTTGATTTAATTTTAATTGGCTTTAGATGAAGATTGTAAATAAAGCTTCGTTTTCAATCAAACTTTGTTATTTGTTATAAAAATATAATATGTTTTTTATCATTTTAATTTTATGAACGGATAATTATAATCATTATAAGATACTCTTGCATCCTAACTTATTACGGATAGATGTTTTATCCGTAATAAGTTAGAATGCTTTATTATTGTTAGTATCTTTCAAATAATTAACGCTTTATGTTTTATGACCTCTATTGCTTAAAAAAATAACACTTTTATTTAGATCGTGCATCAAGGGCGATGTTAAGCAATTTAATTCAATTTTTAATCTTTGCTTCGCCAGTTAAATCAGCTCGTCGCGTTAAAAAAGTTTTAATATTCTGACTCTGCATCTTAAAGTAGGGGGAAAAAAAGTTTTACGTTTTTGTAAAAGTAAAAATACAAATATCTTTAAAGATTTATTATACAACTAGGCAACTTAATCAAATAATATAAACAAAATAATAATTTCTGAAACACATGTATTATTTTATTTAGGGTGTACAAACATATGTATTAATTTCATTATATTTTGATTAATATGTACAAACATATGGATTATTTTAATAAGGGTGCTACAATAGTGTGCTACCTTTCGGTAATTGTGTCCTATAGAACATTTTTTACATTTTCTAATAAAATAAACAGTTTTAATGTATAATATTGTTTATATTAAAGTTTATATTATGAACTATAAAAAAAATTTTGCTTACGTCTTCCAGCAACAACAGCTATTAGAGTGCCAATGATGAAAAGCTTCATTTTAAAAAATAAAGCTTCAAGCCTTTTTAATTGTTAGCTAAAAGATTTTAAAAGTTCACCTTTAGTTTGCGTTTATCGTGCAACAAATGCCGATACTTGATAACACCTTTTAAAGCATTACGCTTTGAATTGTGGGATCGACTTAAATAAATGTCTTACGATGAGACTTTAATCCTTTTATGGCTTGAGCTAAATAAAATTGTATAGTTTTACAACTAAAAGGTTTGAGTATTTCAATATGATAGAATTAAAATGCTCTAAATGCCGATGTCACAAAACATTGGAAAAGTCAGAATCTTTTTTCCCCACTCTCGTACAGAAACTTTTTTTAAAAGTGTTAGAAATAATTTTTGGGCTTTTTACTAGCAAGATATATTATCAGATTGATTTATTTTAACCAAAGTCGGATATTTAATATTTTTAGTTTATATGTTTTTAGTAATATATTTATTTTATTAAAATAAATCAAACTCAACCATACACTTGCATGCAAGGTCTCTAATATAGTTGGTCTGCGCACTCACAAACAATTTTTCAAAAAGCATACGATAAGGTGCAAATAAAAAACCAGTCTCAAAAAAAATGTTTTTAGTGAAGGTAAAAATGTAAAAGCAAAATCTTTATTACATGCTACATTAAATAAAACTTAAAATAGTAGGAAGATGCTGTACTTATGAGTGTTAATCTGGGTGTAATAGAACTCTCTTTTCCTCCTGATGGCAATGTTTGTAAACAATGGCTGATAAAATTTAAAAAATTTTTTTTGCTACTAAAAAATCAGTTACGTTTAGTACAAATATTATACAAAAACAAAAGCTTCAAAATGCAAATCGTATGCGAATAAAATTGCAAGCAAAACAAGTTTTTGTTTTATTTTTGTTGCTAGTGATATTGTAAGCTATTTATTCTTCAACTAACTGAAATTGGAACAGCTGTCAAACTATCTGTAGTCACATATACCAAGTATCTGTTGTTATATATATCAAAATTTTAACTTTTTTGTTTTCGTAAATAAAATAGTTGCTATTTGTAAATGAAATTTTTTAGTAATAATGGCAAACATAACGAAAATTTCCAGTTTATCAGATTTAGAGGATTTGCTGAGCCATATACATTAGTAAAAAGGATAATCAAATTTTATCTATACCTACATATATTCAATTTTTATAAAATATAAAGGATTAAATAAAATCGTAAAAAAACCGTTATATGAGATAAGCTTATTTTATTGATACAACAAATATTCTAAAGTTACTTGTTTGCTGTGGTACACAAGCAGTAAAAGATAAAATGAGATGGTTTTACACTATAACAACTTTACTTTGCCATCAAGTTTTAATTTTATATTTGTATCTACTAGAATGAATATTAAAAATAAGTTTTTCCTTGAAAAAAGAAAAAAAAATTTAATCAATAAAAAAAAAAAATCTAATTAAATATTTAAAGAAATTTTAATTAATAAAGAAGTTGAATTTGAAGTTTGAACATTTTGGGTATTGTTGATGAATCAGAAAATCAGCAACAACTGATTCAGTATTTATCTTTTCAGTTGCTGAAAATTATTTGAATACGTTTTAATTTCTTTTTTTCTGACAATATTGTTGTCAATCATAATTTGTATGAATCAATTGTGTTCAGGAAAATGAACTTATTTTTATAATCTTCCAATATTAAACAAACTCTTTACATCGATCAACCCATCTCACGACTTCAAAAACGTTTTCAAGTGTTGCGTTTTTTCAACAGTTAACATAATTATGTCCAATTATTTTTGGTCTAATTGTTTTTTATTATTATTTTTATTTCTATACTTAATAAATATTCTTCAGTTATTATTTTTATTCATTTTTAATCTTAATAAATAATCTTTGTTTATTATTTTTATATATTTTATATATTTTTATACTTGATACATAATCTTTATTTATTAAGTAGAAGTAGTAACTTTTTTACGTTTGTTTTTTTATGTGAACGTTTTTATGTTGTTTTGTTTTTTACTTATTTTTTTATTATTACATTTTTTTATTACGTTCAGGGCCGCCGAGAGCTATCATTCTGCCTGGGACAGCAATCCTGATTGGCGCCCATATTTATCAAATTTTCCCTATATTATATATGAAGGACCTTTTTTTTTTTTTTTAAGTACCTACATTCTATTTGGCGCCCCTTGGATATCTGCCGCCCGGGAAAACACTGTCCCGGTGGCCCCCACCGTAGTATAAGAAATGATTACCCGGTCAATTGGCATTTTTGCTTTGTTTGGCTTTTAAATTTCATTATTATTTTATTTCTTAATTGGCTTAAGATTTTTAATTTTTTTAAGTGCAAAATAATGTTTTTTTTTAAACTTTTAAAATGTTATTGTTATGAATCATTAATTTAATGCAGATATAATTTATAAAATGATAATAAAAATAGTTGAACATATTTAATGTTGTTTTTTAACTTTTATTAACAATTCTGTTAAAAAACAAAACAAGATCAACATTTGGTTAAATTTATTTTTAGAATCTAAAAAAGTTTATAAGCCTTGTTTTCAGAAGAATGGAAGACTTCCTATGATACTAATCGCTAATATAAAATGATATAGGAGCAAAAATTTAAATGAGTTAAAATGGTTAAAAATGGCACCCATAAAGCATATTGCAAATGGTGTCACTGCATCATTCAGCCTAAAATGGACAATCTTGTCAAACATAACAGTTATTTAAAACACAATAAAAGATCTTCATTAACTTAGAGTTTTATGGGTATAAATTTATGAGAAAATAATAAAAAAGCAGAACTTCACATTGCTTTGTCTATGACTTGCCATTGTGCTGTACGTACTGTTGACCCACTGTGCGTACTGTTGATCACTTAAATGAAGTTTTTGTTGTTTATGGGCATGAAAGTTTACTTGAACATGTAACAATTCATAGAGCTAAATGTGTGGGGTTGTTAAAAAATGATATTTCTTCTATATTAAAAGATAGTGTTTTTGAGAAATGTTGTTTCTCCTTCATTGATAGATGAAGATTTAAAAAAAAAAAATATGCCTTAAAATGAGATGAATCTACCCAGACAGCAAGGATATAGTGGTCCCACACTGATCTTGTATAGGCTGCCGCGCTGGACCAGCTTCGGCTGCAAACGCTGGCGTAGCTCCGCTTTGCTCTTAGGATTTTTCATGGACCAGCGACAGCAAAACAGCGGCTAGCCAGTGCGAGGAAAGAACTGGCAGAAAAACAATTAGCCATGTTTACATACATATTTTACAGTACCATCGTGATTTTGTCTTTGTTGACTAAATGGGTCGCGCATCCGATTATTATTGATTTTTATCGGGCAATCCTATTTGAAGTCTCTATATTTTCCTCTTAGACCCCGTTTTCTTATTTATTTAAAGTTATTTTTAGCATAATCGACTGTAGTTTTTTAGTTTAAAATTGGCGTATTTTTTATTAGTTTAAGGACAATAAAAGGTAATAAACACATGATTATTGACAATTTTAAATATTATGAATAAATTTAAAAAAACAGGCTTAAATTTTAAAATATATTTACGCAATTATAATACAAAGATTTGATTCATAACCATTCGACAATCGTGCTTTTCTGCGATTCATATCCAATCGTCAACATGATTAGTTATAAATATCTGCTTTAATTTGTAACGTTATTGCCTTCTTTAGTGCTTGCATCTGTTCTAACTTTAAGTAAAAACAAACATAAGCACAACTTAATATTCTTTCTGCAGATGACTGTTATCTTTTCGATTCTCACATAGGTATTAAAACATTTTTTGAAACAGCTAACGAACAGTTGTGTACGGTTAATGAGTGTTTTATAAGTAATAAACAATCTAAATGTGGATAAAACCAAATTTATTTTATTTCATAAAGTAAACAAATTAGAAAACATTTCAATTAAACTGACAAATCTAATAATCAATAACGTTAACATTAAAAGAGAAACTTCAGTAAACTTTTTGGGCATATCATTAGATGAACATTTACGTTGGAGTGACCATATGAAAAGTATTGTGTTTAAATATTTTAAAAAATTAAAAAAATTATCATGATACATAGGGTAAAAATTAAATCTTTAAAAAGTTAATTTTTTTTTTATTCGTTGTAATTTAATTTATAGTAATGTTGCATTGATTATAGTAATATTGATTTATAGTAAATTCGTTGTAATTTGATTTATAGTAATATTGCATGGGCAAATACAAATCATACACAATTTAAAAAACTGTACAGTAAACAAATACATGCGGGCAGAATATTATTTGAAGGTGATAAACTGTATCATGCGAGCCACTTCTGCGTATACTTTGCACATTAAACGTTTGTAAAATTAAATTTGAACGCTATCTGCTTTGATACTACTAGAAGTAATAATATAACAACTGCAAAAACCAACTTATGCATAAGTTGGTTCTTAGCTTCAATGGCTTGAGCTTCCAGCTAAGTTCTATGAACACTTAAATAATTGTTATAGAACTTTAAAAATTCAAATAAAACGTTTAGTAATAAGATTAAAAAAATATTTACTTATTATTTCTTTACTTTTACAGCTCCATGCAGAATGCAATAGTGAGTACTTTTACCATTCTTTTAATCATTTCAATCATTTTAGAAGGTAATAAATTTTACAACTTTTTTATCTACAAAATGTCAATTGCATCCCATGCAGATGCGATGGATGATTTCAAGTCAGCTAGTGAACAATATTGTTTACCACCTTCAAACACTATATGTAAAAGCTGTTCTCCACCACTCTCAATAATATTCAGGTCTGGAGATCTAACTGGCCACTTCAATTATTCAATTTTACTGCTGTTGAAATATTCCGTTACTATCTTAGCTGTAAAAACGCTGGCATTATCTTGATGAAAAACAAAACTTTCACAACTTATTACAGATGCTTGACGTCTTAAATATTCTTGAACAATTAAAAGATAATCCTTAGCCTTCATTTAACCGTCAATAAAATGACTTTTTGATTTACCATGATACTTAAGCGCACACCAAATCATTAACCATCACCCATTTGATGTTGTTGATGTGTTATTGGTTCTTTACACAAATCGTGAAAACAATAATTCCATCTATCTAGCCC